ATATCATTTGGTGCCTGCAGGAATATACGGCTTGGTGAGTATTTGCAATTCTAAAAGCTAGCCCACAGCTGCTAGCCCACTGCTTTTGAAGCACCAGCATTTATGCTTTGTGTTTTAGTTTTATATTGCAGTCAGTTTGTTCTAACCTTTGGTTTATTCCTTATTTTGTCCATTTTTGGGGGTCTTTTCTCTTTGCCACTATGTTTCATTATACTGTCACCTACCTCCAGTGTTACTTTTCCAATGGACTGCTTTTTTACCCTAGAGTCTCAGAATTCTCTGACTGCCTCCTATTATGCCACTCTCCATATGCAGCATTCTATCCATACATCTCCCAGTCTTCTGTGGACTCTTGGGCTTGCTTTGGGAGCAGCTACAGTGTAAGGTTCAGACACACAGAGAGCCAGAAAGCAACATGTGCAAAAACATATTGTAACTTGCTATATCTATAGAAACACCACCAGAAGAATCTATGTTAATTAGTCCAATCCCATATACTTCTCTCCTCTTGCATCCTTGTGCATCTTCTCTCCTCCTATCTTGACTCTGCTATTGATCAACTGTGAGACCCAGACATTTCCAGACTTTATCTTACATCTGTCCTCCCCATCAGTTTTCCTAGAAATGCTATCACTATTGTAACAATTTATAATCAAAAAATTCAGGAAGTGCAATTTTGTTTGTGTTTTTAAGAAAAATGTCAGGACCTGATTTGTGTTATGTCAACAGCAGCATAGTCATACTTTGCATCCTGCTGAGTTTGCCGTACTGGGCTTTAGAGTAGGGTGTGGGATTTTGAATGTAGGAACAGACAAAACTACAGCTTACCATTCCCTCTTGGAAGATAAAGTAACCTTTTGGAAACCCAATGTTGGTTCTGTTTTCATGTCTAGCAGCCAATGAAATGTCAGGTATTTTAATTTTGCTAGTGATTTGCTGTATGTTGGAACTAGCAATATTTATTTATTATCATTCTGAATTCTTATTTGTTGTTTCAAGAGAGAATTGCCAAAGAAGTTATGAAATGTAACATTAATGACAAAGTGTTAAATACTCTTAATATCGAGGCCTAAAGTACATAACAATATTTGACTATCATAAAAATGTGACTAGTTTATAAAAAGAGAAAACATGGCTCAAGCTAACCCCGGGTAGGAACTCCATTCACACAGATGGAGTAATGCCCAGTTACATCACGATTAAATTTAGCCCAATAATTCTAAGGACATAAATATTTATCAGTAATCATTCATAACAGAATTCAGGAGACATCAGCATATTTATTTCTGCTAGATAAGCAAAAGAAAGATATATTACCATAATATTAAGATTAACTTGAGCTCTTTCTCTTCTTTGACAGTCATATCACAACCCTTGAGACATCATATATCTCTCCCAATGAAGTGACAAAAATATTTACCTTCATGATAAATTACAGGAATAGCAAACATACCTACCTTGTGTTCAAAGGACTTTAGCATATTATGTGAATGACAGCTCACAGGCTCTCTCTAGTGATTCGGTAAAGTTGAACATGACCAGGGCCGGCTCCAGGCACCAGCTTACCAAGCAGGTGCTTGGGGCGGCCACTCCGGAGGGGGGGCGACACGTCCAGCTATTCGGCGGCAATTCGGCGGACGGTCCCTCACTCCCGCTCAGAGCGAAGGACCTCCCGCCGAATTGCCGTCACAGACCGCGATCGCGGCTTTTTTTTTTTTTTTTTTTTTT